CGTGGAAGGAACAATATTCAAAGCTTTTGCATCTGGTAATATTTCTTAGTTAAAGTTTATCAACACTTGAAAGAGAATCCTAATCCTTATAAGTTTGATGCAGAAACCAATCAATCCATAATGATTTTGATCATATTGTTTTGAAAACAAACATCAGATATTATCCAAGTTTTGGGTTAATAAATTATGATAATTTCAAATTCTAACTGTAAATATGCAGTTTCGCTAAATATGACCAAAAAATCTCAAACTGAGGAAGAGTGAAGATGAGATGCGATTGCCGACTATAATTCATTCAGACACACCTTTATCACATCCAATTCCAAAGTCTGTCTGCAACTACAGATCATCTGAAATGTCACTGGAACCTAACCGAACCATCCGGCAGTCGAGTCACTGGTTGTCGAATGGTTCATTTATTCTCGTAAAAATCAATGCCAACCGAAAAATATCAGTTAACTGTAGGCCATGAACTGGCCCACACGGTAGTGGTTAAACGTTGTTCCTTACACCCACTTTTATTGATATCATCGTTATAGCAGTTCACGAGTTTATTCACGCTTCATTTTGTAAAGCTCTGTTGTTAACCTATTTAACGGATAGAGTCATCTGGACACTAACAGTTTATCTTATATCATTATACCTTTATTATTGTTGTACTACTATGAATATGTATGCTTGAGAATTGCTTACTGCCTACTCGTATATTCATTCTGCTAGCCTTACTGTTGGTCACTTAATTGATTTGATGATTCATTCATTTCACGATGTATATATATATATACATTTCAATCGTGTACATGGACTCGTTTGTCTGCTAGCACTTCGACATTATTCCTTACATGCTTGCGTAGAATTCTTGTAATCATGATTATCTGTACATGCTGCAATAATGAGCGTAATCAGCACTTCGTATTCACCTTCTGATCAATAGACCGTTGGGGAGTTACTGTCCAACAAAAAAGCTGCGGAGGGATTTTCATCGTTCTCTTTCCGTTACAACCATCAACCGACTTCGCGGTAATCCACGCAAATGGGAATTGAATGATAACACGAGTACTGCACTCTCAGAGGTCAAAACGGCTATGGCTCAAGTTACTTTCCTCGATAATCCTTGCCCATCAACCACGCTTAGTATAGCGGTTAGTGCATCGGATTTTGCTATTATGCTGCTATGCAACAGAACATCTCTGGGAGTCGGCAACCTCTCTTATTTTTCCTACGGGGACGAGATATCGTGCTTTTGGTCGAAAATTACTAACAGCCTAGTGTGCCATCAAACATTTCGACACGCAGTAGAAGGTCGCGATTTCATCTTGTTCACCGACCATGAGTCTTTAACGTATGCTCTGACCGCTGCTCACCACGAGAGTGCAGACATTTGGACTATATCCCTCAGTTCACGATAGACCATTGTCACATCAAATGCGAGTAGAGCTATGTCGCCGATGCCCTGTCACGTATTCAAATGAATGCAGTTACTTTACCGGTGCTCGATCTTCCTGCTATGGCTGCCGCCCAAGCAAACGATCTCTTTTGCACAGAAGCACCACAATGCACATCACTTCAGTGCCTAGGAGAACCCCCAGCTACTAGCTGAGGTACTACCCTTGTTAACTTCTACTGGTTTTCCCCGATGACACGGGATAGGACTCTATGCCTATACAACATACATACCACATCTTTTCTCCTTTTCTTTAATTTTTTGTACCCTGAGCCCACGCCGCCGACCATCGTCCGTTTGGTACCATCGACTTCAGTCAAGTTCGTCGTAAGCTGACCTGATCACCCATGCTTTTATCAACGAACTCAGTCGATGTTCTTGTTACGAATATGTCTGGCATATATTTGGTCTCGCGCTTAATTGTTATGGCCGCTTCTGGTTTCTTGGCTCAACGTGATTCCATCCTACGTCTGCAGCGTTTTCTGGTCAGGACCCATACGAACGCAATCCCCAGATCCTGGATACAAACCACTCTGGTGTGGCATGCCAACTCGACCAACAAATACAACACGTTTCTCCTGGTACCATTCCACGTAAAAGACCTTCGGTGATAACTTGAGGATCAACGATCGCTTCTGGTCCTGCCAACCCTCTCGTCCTACAATCACACGTTTGCAGATCAGTCTCACGAACGAAACCACTACGTATCGAGAGAGTAGACATTTTCTAGTGGGGGGGCTCCTGTAGTGATCTACTTTTATCAAGAGAACGCGATTGGTGTGATAGAAACAATTATTATCATCAATTGCACCATGGATTGTTTTACCGTACTTGTTTGTTTGACTGTACCAAAATACATACATTATTCCGTTGATTATGACCTTGCGCGAACTTACGTTTGCTCAATAATTCTACTTGTACTTCTTTGATATGATCTCGGTGTTATTTCGATACCACGAGATTGCCAACAAATACATCTCGAATACAGACATCAACTGCCTTCCAATATTTGGCCAACGGGGGATCTTATCGATTAACTGGCACATAGTCTTCCTGTAGTGGTGATCATAGTCAACCGCGTGGTTATTGAAGGGATCGTTTGGAAAACGTATAGCTATGTGGAACTATATTGAACAAAACTTGTTTGACATTCGGACAAATGTAACTTACAACGTTGGTAACACACACATCTCTCAACGATGGGAAACCACGAGTGCAGTAAAAAGAAGCAATTTGGAGTTGTTTCAAAAGATGGCGACGGCATTAAAACTGGAAACTAAACAAAACCGAAGTCAGGACGAACTACGGCATCCATATTAGCTTAAAATCATGCCGGAAATGGTATACATCGTCTCATTATCTCACAGATCTCGTTAACCTTCAAGGTGAGCGACAGTAATGTGTAACACTTCGTCTCCAAATTTGTGAGACTTAATTTTTTTTCGGTTTTATATTGCTCAGAAGAAATGGTCCTCAATAAGAAAAGCAATTGTTCTTCTGTAAAACTGCTTTCCTATTACGGAACTCGCTGCAGGTATGAAATATTATTTGAGAAGATGAAATGATAAGGAACGTTTTCTAGATGGTTCTATTTTTGCAGACCAGATATTCTTAGATTGTTCGTAGTTCAGAGGTAAGTCCTATGGTATTATTCATCGGCCATGTGATCATTCTTCAACAAGTCTCAAATAATTTTTGATATTGGCCACCGACACAGTGACGAATAATAAAGAGTGAAAATAAACCGAACATTACAGCATCACATAGTACCGATTTTCGATTATTGCTTTATGATTACTAGGTCAATAAATTTATAAACTGATTTGATGAGTTTGTACAAGTAGGTGTGGAATATAATTTAATACAGGTTAGATAAATGCTTCAATCGGGCGAAATCATATGAACAGGTGGCGCTCAAAAAACAGTTCAGGTGTTAGGTCAATATTCAGAGCACAAAGTAGTTTCACTTATAATATCCTTGACAGTAACTGCTTCAGTCCATCGCGTGAAACAACTCAAGCAAAGTATTTCATTCACTTAATGTTTTTAACTAAAACAAGGAATTACTGTTCCACTTTGAAGGTGAAAAAAGCTTTCACTATATAGTTATTTGCTCACTCTTGACAACATTACAGTATGTAAACCAAATCACCGTTGTCAACCGATTATATCACCTCTCCCAATTACAGATTTTAAGAAATTTTCAGACATCTCGAATGATCTCAGCACCTAAATATCTGGAATCTCTACGTTTCGACAGTTCGGTCTAAAACCTTGATAAATGACTTTAATTTCCTTGAATAATTTGTGCTGGCAAAGTTGCTGCGAGAAAAGATAGAAACAAATAGAAGAAAGCAAGGACTAGCTGTACCAGCATTCCAACTTAATCGATACACTCATCCATATAGCACACAGTTCAATACACATACTTCTCACACTTTAAGGGTGCCATCTTTTCCCAAAGCGTCTAGTACGACATTTGCACCACCTTGTCAAGTATATTCGACTACACTAGGGATTAGTCAAAGTGACATACGGATTTCAGAAAAATCTAGAACGAGCGGATTCAGAATATCCTTCAAGTAGTAAGAATATACGAATCTTACTCCTGATTCATTGAGTTATTGGCGTCTTGATTGCATGAACGCAGATTTTGTGACCGAATCCGGAGCACAGTCGCATTACTAGATGTACGAATTAAATAATGCTTAAGCTGATACTGCTGTGACGTATTAACGGTTAAACATTATTCAGAACAAAATCAACGTGACTTAACCAAAGATGAACTACATATTTCACTGTAACGCCTGGTTAGCAAGTAACGGGTTAGCATAGAATATAATGACACGTGGTCTGCATTTGACACATCCTATGTACATACCACTTACATAATTTGATGAAAGAGAAGTTCTCCCTTGTCTAGTGTGGAAATAAGCAAACCACTTGAGACTACAATTTACAATAGTTGTAACCAGGAGTAAGTGATTAAACTGTCTTCTGAGTTAAGTAACGCTATAAGTTACTTATCAGACGGCGAAATTTGACTTGTCAGTCAGTCAGCTACAACTTAAGAAGTCTGATCAGCCCCAATAAGTTGGTGTTAGACGAGATCTCAACACGGATTCGAAAAGCTCGCTTGGTTTTTGCCAACTTACGTCACCTATGGCGAAGGCGAGATACCCGCCTATCAAAAAAAGGACGAGTATACTGCGCATTTTAAGTAGATAAGTGGACTTCCTGGAAGGAGATCAATACCCAAGAATTCAGTCAACGCGAATGTTATTTCCATCAGTAGGTCTATGATGAAGTTAAACAAAAATGGAGAAAGTGGACAGCCTTGACGGACATCATTTAAGGTTGCAAAAGCATATAACAGTTCGCCACAAACTCTGACTCGACTGGTAATGTTCGAGTCAAGAGCCTTCATAAGGTTTATGTACTTCTGAGGTACGCCTTTCAATGACAGACACTGCCACAGAATCTCGCAGTCTACGGAGTCAAATGCTGCCCCGTTATATTTCACAGTTCCAAACAAACTAACAAAGATACTTCTGGAGTTGTAGTTTTGTTTTTGAAACTTTATATTTGCAATACAAAAAAATAGAATGTCACATATACACTATCTTAACAAGTGAATTACATACACGTGTATAATATTAATAATAATAATATAAAAAATCAAATATTTATACACTGATTAGAGAGTAATGATAAGTCGAAAAATAAACAGAAAAAGTTATTCTCTTTTATGAAATGCATTTAAAAATAAGCAATGATGATACAAGTAATGACAATGAGATACATATACATAGATCCACAAAGAAGATACACGTATAGTCAATGAAAACACAATACAGTGGAGATAATGTGAAGCTTTGATCGTCTGAATAGAGTAAGGCAATGTATGTATGTATGTATAAGACATCGAAAAACAGAGAAGCAAGAGAATGTGAAAGTTAGTCTCAAACAAAAAAACACACAACAACTTATGTTTCCACCAGACGGAAAAAGTTTGGTCCACGGGATATATAAATATCTGAGTAGGCAACTTCTTGTGCTAATTCCACAGCTCCTTGTTTACGTAATAGTAGAACTGTATAGAATTTCGAAGCAGCCTTGAATGTAGACATTTGAACAAGCGAAAAAAAACAGACAAAAAAGTGATCAGTCAAAAACAGTGATATATCAATAGACAACAATTTGTAGAAACTAAACTAGATCTTCTATTTCCAGACGTAATGTGTTGGGAAATAGAAGCAGGTATGAAAAAGATGAATATCAACTGGAAGGAGCTGGAAAGGATTGCCCAGGACAGGGTTGGATGGAGAATGCTAGTGAGCAGCCTATGCTCCTTCACGAGGAGTAACGGGCGTAAAATAAAACTAGATGTTGGCAAATTGCAGATGAAGACGTTGGAACAAAAAACAAGTTAAGCGATGGAATAAGCAATACCATACTCTTTTTACAGAAAAATGGCTAGAACTTTTGAATTAATCTACTGATTAAAATCCTCAACTAATAACAAATAGATCGTAGGGACTTAAACTACCACCTTGTATCATAGGCTAAGATTATTGAGTTTAATATCTCATATCTTATTACACAACCATCGATTTAGTTACGTCATATTGATCAGTAGTATCGATAATATATATCAATAGACAACAATTTGTAGAAACTAAACTAGATCTTCTATTTCCAGACGTAATGTGTTGGGAAATAGAAGCAGGTATGAAAAAGATGAATATCAACTGGAAGGAGCTGGAAAGGATTGCCCAGGACAGGGTTGGATGGAGAATGCTAGTGAGCAGCCTATGCTCCTTCACGAGGAGTAACGGGCGTAAAATAAAACTAGATGTTGGCAAATTGCAGATGAAGACGTTGGAACAAAAAACAAGTTAAGCGATGGAATAAGCAATACCATACTCTTTTTACAGAAAAATGGCTAGAACTTTTGAATTAATCTACTGATTAAAATCCTCAACTAATAACAAATAGATCGTAGGGACTTAAACTACCACCTTGTATCATAGGCTAAGATTATTGAGTTTAATATCTCATATCTTATTACACAACCATCGATTTAGTTACGTCATATTGATCAGTAGTATCGATAATATACAGAAGAATCATAATCTCTGTTCTTATTTGAAGTAAAAGAACTGATCGCGAAAAAATAAAACGATACACAGAATAGTTATTATTAATGTGAAAAGTAATGTAAATAAGCACGAAAAACATTGACTGATTATTGAGTAGTTAGTTACTAGCATAATATTTATCTAATGCTTGAGAGTTGATCAAATTCTATTGATCAGATTATAATGTGGCAGCTAGTGTTTCAACATTGCATGAACTACTTTCTTTGACGTTGGGTAAGAAAACCTTTCAGACCTAAATTTCATGCCAGTTGGTAAGAACAATTATGGTGTATCTACAATCTTGAAAAATCGATGTTTTACGGTCTGGGACATTATCAGTGAACTATTATTTGTTGGAACGAATGAACAGACCAACAGATCTAGTATTGATTGAGATTATGAACTGATTGATGTTAGACCACCATTGAAAAACTGGGAGCACTGGACGGCCGTTTCGTCTTATTGTGGGACTCCTCAGCAGTGCGCATCCACGATCCCGTTCGCGGGATTCGAAGCCAGGGCCTTCAGTCTCGCGCGCAAACGGTTAACCTACTGGACCACTGAGCCAGTCTCCAATGGTGTTAATGTCTAACCTCAACCAATCCACGAAGTTGCGCAACCACCGTCCATTGTACTGAGGTAGACACCTGTTTCTATTCGACACGGATTAGCTCCAGTGGTCAAGGTTCATGATCTCAATCAAAACTTAACAATCTCCACAATCACTATACTGAGATTTAGTAATGTGGAATCACGAAAATTTTCTTTCTTCTGAGCTACAAATATTCAGAAACAAACCAATCAATCATAGAGGAAGATATTGTACATCCAATTGATCATGAAGATATTGATTATCGATTCCAGTCATCATAATAGAGAATTCCTTGTTATTCACAAGATATATATCGTAAATATATTCCTTATTGAACAGTACAAATTTTTTTTCTACAACTTAGTCACTCTCCAGGAAAATTGTGGTCCATATTTTACGTAACACAGTAATACACTATCCGAATGCTTAAATGAAACATAATAAGATGGAACAGCATTTTGTGTATCTTCTACAGGTGAAACACAAATTCCCTTTAAATACACCATTATGTATGTACAGAAAACATATTTAGAAATCAATAAACAACAAGTTGACTCACTTGTTTCTTTGTATTACCATGACATAAACCTTGTAATGTTAACGGTTCATCCCAACCATATTGTTGTTGATGTACACGTAACATACGTAATAACACTTTAGAACGTTTTTCTAAACGACGTTCCTCAGCTGTTTCTAATGGTAAACCATCAGCTGAGAGAGGAGCTTCAGATCCAGGAAAACCACTTCCAGATAATAAACCATCACATGTTCTACCATCATTTTTAAATACATTTTCTAATTCATTGTCAACTTCATTATCAGCTGCGGCCAATTCACGTTCTAATGCCAACATATCAACCTGGAATGAAATTTCAGAGGGGAAGAAATACTCTAGACATACCCAACAAGTATTCACGAACAAGTAATATTTGAATGAAAAAACTGTCTTGCAATATAACCTCATCATCAATGACTTATTTATTTATTTATTCAGATAAACATTGGTACAAGGAGGCATCAAATACATATGCACCACATAAATCATTCGATTTGTGTGAGGGCGGGAATACTGCTCGGGTGGCCAGACCGAAGCAGGTGGTTTTCTTAGGGGGCCACACCTCGAACCTGTGACCTAAAGGACTAACCCACAAGGTAGTGGAGCAACGTTAGGAGATGCAGTCCCATGGTAGCCGGTGACCAATAATTGGTTCATACGCCATTTGTTCTTTCAGGATACTGGAGCCCATGTGCACCATTGGTTTGCAATGAGGGTTTTCCAACTCAACTAGGTGGACTCTCCATGTCTACCAAGCCGGTTAAAGCGCCGGACATTGACTTTTCATCCTCTCAATTTCGTGAACAACACCGCCACCACGAGAAGGTAGTGAGGTAGGGCTTCCCCGCATCAATGACTTAACAGCTGTATGTCCATAATTATTGTATTATAACGGTTAAGATAAAGTATACATATAAACAAATGAATTAGACAATGTTAAATGTTACAATAATGAATTTTGGACGTCGGTTACAGTTCAAATACATCTAAAATGTGTCAACTACAAATTTGAAAGAGAAGCAAGAAGTCTAATTGAATAGTTTCAAGTTATAATGAGAACATAATATAAAAAAAGAAAATCATGCAAATAAAATACATATAATAGAAGCTTATATGTCAGATAATAATAAGAAGAATAACACCATGTGAATATAATATATTATCAGAATGAGGATTTGTAGAGACTGGTAATTTTAGTAGTTTAATTCATGAGTACTAGAGTATGGGACTCTTCAACAGTACGCATTCACAATCCCACACAAGGGATTCAAACGAAGGACCTCCGGATTCGTGCGCGAATCCTTAACCTCTAATACCACTGAGCTGGTATCCAACGGTGTTAATGATGTAATGATAAAACAAACAAAATACAGGTAATTTGTTGAGATGGGTTGATGTCAAGAACAAGTAGCCCAGATATAAAACAGGCTTCCAAAGTACAAAGGGAGTAACACAAATCATAGAAGTAGTGGAATCATTAGCACTCACATAGAAACACACAAATAAAATTAAAGTGTAACTGAAAGTCATACATAAAATTGTGTACTACGTCTAAGTGACATTTGTATATAATGAAAAATCAAAATTAAACTTATCAAGAGATTTGTGTAGAAAATTATTTGTATTTATATTTCTGTAAGAAATTGAGAGGGTGAAAAGCGAATGTCTGATGCTTGAACCGGGTTGGTGGACATGGAGAGTCCACCTAGGGGAGTTGGAAAACCCTCATTGCAAACCAATGGTGCACATGGGCTCCAGTATCCTGAGGGAACGAATGGTGTATGAACCAATCGTTGGTCACCGGCTACCAAGGGACTGCATCTCCTCATGATGCTCCACTACCTTGTGGGTTAGACCTTTAGGTCAAAGGCTCGAGGTAAGGCCCCCTAAGAAAACCACCAGCTTTAGTCTGGGCACCCGGGTAGTATCCCAGCCCTCACACAGATCGAATGATCTATGTGGCGCATATGTATTTGGTGCCTCCTTTTACCAATGTTTATGGGTTTAAATGAATAAATAATAAATCGAATGAAGACTCAGAGAGAGAGAGAGAGAGAGTATACATATATGCAAATCCAAAATGCACAACATCAGTAGGGAAGCTCTCGGTTTTTTTACACTCCATACACTCCCTTTTTAAACTTATTACTTATCAATGCACGTTCACTTCAGAACAAAGTTTCAACCTTGAGAACATTAGCTTTTCTAGTCAAGCCTTCTTTATATGATGTGATATCAAGCGATAATGATGATGACAAATTCTATTCAAAAATGAACAAACCTTTAGAAACTACTCCCAGGTTATCTTTTGATAATTGTGTTATTACAACATAGTGATGAATATTGAAGAAATTTATATGTACATAAAAAAACCACAGTACTATTTTGCATGTAATAAGTGTATGTTATATCCCGATAAGAATAATGAATGGTAATCTTTTGGGATCCATATATGGACCAATACTATTGGGTATATTTTTATCATATAATTGTTATGCAACGAAACTGTTCATATTCATGTCCCAGTTATCATGAGTTTTATTTTGACCTATGAATGATTATTGTACAATTTACCATTCTTGAATTATGGCCTGTCTATTAATCGCTAACTCCCTCATTCACAGCCACATTTGGCCATATTTTGTACAAATGTTATTTTCATATTTTATGGTACATTGTGGTCGGGTTCATCGGTATATAAACAGAGTACGTTTGAAATACATGATTCATACTGCAGAGGCTGAGATTAGTGTTCTGGACTCAACTGCCTGCTGGGCTAGACAGGAAAGCAGGACCAATCAGGACCCTCGGTTGCTCGCACGTGTATATGCGTCACCGGTTCAATCGATAAATCGCTGCACTCTGATTGGCGGTATCGTTGCGTTATACAATAAACAGGGCACATAGATTCACAAGATATAACAGTATGCAATGTTTTAAAATTTTTAAGTTTCTGGAAACCTTCAACTTACTTGCATTACACTTGGTGGGGCTTCTGATAAAATACTTGGAGGTGCAAGATAAGGTGTTTCTGGTTCTACCATGAATCCTAAGTCATCATGCATAGGTGGTTCATCATCAAGATCATCTTGATTATTATCGGCGCCATGAGATGCTAAACAAAGGACAGGGAGAGAGAGAGAGAAGGGAGGGGTGATGATATGTGTATAAAAAAGGGAGTGTACTTATTCTATACAATGTGTATAGTATATTCTCAGTATAAGTTTTCACCTTTTAGTTAGATAACCTATCACGAGAAATGGATTGTCTCGTAAAATTTCTGAGTCGTGACATCATGAGAGAAGAGAATATGCATAAATACTTGAGAGACAAATCACACTTGCAATTTTTTGCAAACTCGCATAAAAATGCACTAATATGCTCTTCAACCAATTCATTTACCAGACACAGGTTCGCATGTTTGGTTTCGAGGCACATTCTCAGTGTGAAGCGTAGTGACAATACTAGTTTGATCAAACCGAAGTCTGTGGAACGGAGTTCGAGCCTTCGGTTTAGTGGCTAAAAGTTGGATGCCTTAATAACCTTTGAACCAGCGTCCCACGTTTATATATACCCACACACATAACAATGAACTTACTTGCAGGTGTTGGCCTTGACTGTTCACCATGTGAAGCAGTAAATGGAGCTGATTCGTCTTCTGGGATTTCTGAGATAGGACCCAATTTTTGAGGTAATTGCATTGTATCTTTCATTGTTTCACCAAATTCAGAAATCGATACATCAGTAGACTGTTGCTGTTGAATATTTTGATCGAATGAAGTGTTTGGTTGTAAAGCCTGTTATGAAAGATAAACAACAAATACAGAAAATGATAACCAAGAACAATGTCCAATAAAGGCTGATAGGGATGCACATAAAGTTCAATCGTAATGAACAAAATATTTCTAAAAAAAAGGACGTAACTCTGTAGATTAAATGAAGGGAGGCCAGTTATAATTAATGTGTTACCTAGTACAAATATAATTCGCGGCCCAAATTGTTACATCACATGAGCATAATGAAAGAGGAACTTAACAACATCCATAAGGAAAGTTATAAATAGTGTGAAGATTTGACTTAAGGAAGAACGACTGAAAAGAAGCAATAGAACTAGAAAACAAAACATGAAGTATTGGAACTTAAGACATAAAGAGGCTAAACCAAGAGTGAACGCATGTGCATCAACAACATCGGTTTCCAGTCATGTCGCCTAACGTCTCTTCAGTCACTGAATACAATTATCTTGTGGACCTCAACCAGGTAGTCCTACACCTACTAATATGGTTCAGACCAACAGTCAATAACTGTAGTAACAATTATAATCCTGGAGCATGTAACAAAAACCACAAACTAGAAGCGTCAGTACCCAATTAGATAACAGGAAAGGTCGGTGAGAAAAATGGACCAAAAAGTTTCTGAAGTCTCTGTTGTATGTCATAATTTAATCATAAAGAACAAAAGTACATAATTTGAAGCGTTTATGGCTCTGAACATTCCTGAAACCCATTGAGATGTGAACAACTGAGAATGGAGGAAAATAGTACATTTTTATCATTTAGTGTGTTGTCCATCAGTACTATCCATCCACTATTAATGTCATCATACTAATTCACCTGGTCAAAAACACTGCTTTTATGACGAAAGAGACCTCTGGTGCGTGTGTGTGAGCAACGCAGAGTTGATGTTGAAGGAGACGGTAGTGGGTCCAAGTCCCAGGGTAAATACTAACCCTGGGATACAGGTATGCCCAGTTGAAGAGTCCCAAATAGGACGAAACCGGAGTTCTGGATTCCACTGCCAGTCACTATCCATCTCTGCTTATAATGCTTGTGACTTAATGACAATGTCAAGACAATCTGCACAGGACGCATATACGCCAAAAAGACTGATCAATCTCGGTGCTCAACACATCACTGAGAAGATTCAAACAACTCAAACAAATGAATCAAAGCTACGGTTGCTTGATAAAAAGCTAACAACTCTATGACAATAACAGTAGTAATTAAGGCACTGAATACAAACACCTTGTTTAGAAGAAGGTTAGAACACTAAAACAAAATTACACACACACGCACACATATATATTATTTACAGATATTTTAATGTCAGTGACACATGAACATACAGATTTAAAGCAAACAATTATTGAAAGAATAATTGTTACCTCCGAATTGGTTAGCATATTCGATTGATCAGGAAGCGGTTGTTGTTGTTGTTGTTGTTGTTGGGTAGTTGAACTAAACGATAGACTAGATAGTAAATTAGATGTTTGAAAAGATTCCCCTGTACCAGTAACATCATCTGGGACAGCCTGAGTATATAAATTACGCATAAATAAGCGTTGCAGTACACGTGATGGAATAGCACGACCAGGTAGAACAAACAATTTATCCACACTACCTGTCTCTTTCCAATGCATTAGTTTTTTAGTCGGTGGTGCCAAATCTAATTGGGTTGTGATATCAGCGGTATTCTCCATTTGGGATTTCATAACTTCACTTGGAATTGACTTTTGTTCATCAACGATAAGTCGACGTTTACGTTTTGTTGCTCTATTATAAAACGGATAATATGTAGAAAATAGTGAATATCAAACAAGCAAATAAATAATCTTGATCGAGTGCCATATTCGATGAAGTAAACAAGGTTAAATTGTACTTGGTGAACAGACAACGAACAAATACACCAAACAAGTTGTCAGTAAATAGCAATGCACAAAAAATTCTAGACGAGTGCCAGATAGAATGGAAAGTAGGTCTGAGGTTTCTTTCTTATTGTATCGAACGATCTAACATTAAAACAAAGGTGGCCAAAAGATTCCAAGTCACTTAATTTAGTAACTTCATTATAGCTTAATGGAAAGAATTTACTCAACCGTAATAAGTACACAATGTGACATTTAAAAAACCAGACGGTAAATTCAAACTACCCGGTTAGGGTCAGCACAGCAACCGCCATCAGAGGTTGGAGACGCTACGTAAGCTGGGTTAGAATCAGTTGAAATGGTACGGACACACACGCACTTTACCTTACTCTAGATCATGAGTTCCAATATCCCTTCACGCTGCGGCGGATAATGATGTGTTTATTCTCATACCTTGTATAAAAATGGACAGGATAATCGATGGATGACCTTCAGCAAGCAAAATAATGCAATTAGAACAGTTTATTTCGAAGAAAAAAGCAATTCATATAATACGACTAGCGAGTAGAGAGTGAGACAGGAATGAATGGATCCATATATACCATGTAGATAAATATATAAATGGATGAGCCATTATCCATTAAATATGTGTATAAGATCGTTTAAGCAATTGATGCTTGAGTAAGTGGAATTAATATGTAGGCGGATACAATCAAACACTCATGCATACTCGTTTGTATAACCATACATATATGAAGGCTAATTAAATAGAAGTATAGACCAATTATCAAGGATTAAAATAACACTTTATCTACTAAACAGGTTGATATGATAGTCTAGTTAATTTGAACCTATACAAGACTGTGTATGGGTAAGGTCATCCATGGACCATAATATACCACCATTTCATTGTCTTTTAGGAACGATATTTTTAATATTCAATCTTTCTCATCATCATTACTTCCACATTATTTAGACTTCAATTCATCTTGTTCATTTCATCTCACCGTATTAATGTGGTATGGAAACTTGGACTAACGCACATATCTACCAGAGTCTATGCTGATGCGAAGAGAGAGTTTGTTTTGACCAAGTAGTGATAGAATAATCATAGAACATTTTTATTGCTATTATTTTTCTGATTTTTTCTAAATCAATTGAGATAAGACTCATGTAATAATAATTACACTATTTATTTATTTCAACACATAAACGTTAGTACAAAGAGGCACCAAATATATACGCGTCACATTTAGTCACTCGATTTGTGTGACGGCTGGAATGATGCCCAGGTGCCCAAACCGAAGCAGGTGGTTTTCTTAGGCGGTCACTCCCCAAGCCTATGACCTGAAATCCTAATCCACAAAACAGTGGAACAACGTTAGGAGATGCAGTCCTTTGGTAGCCGGTGACCAATAAACGTCCATGCACCATTTGTTCCCTCAGGACCCAGAAGCCAATGAGCACCGTTTTTTGTAATCGGTATTTCCCAACTCCCCTACGTAGATCCTCTATATCCACTAACCCAGTTAGAGCTCTGAACATTCGCTTTTCGTCCTATTAGCTTCATAAACAACACCCCCACCACGAGAAGGCAGTGAGTAGGCCCATAAACGGACGAGGGTGGAGAGAGTTCACTCTCCTCCTTGAAACGTTCACATATGACTACGCTTACACAGCCACTGACAGGAAAGTAATTAAACTAAGAGATTTATGCAGTTCGGAATAGAAAAAAAAGGAAAATAGTTTACCGTTTTGGTTCAACGCCTGTTGTTGTATATGTTGCCTCAATAGGTGGCAAGGCAAAAGCTTCAGATTCATTACCAATTAAAGTTGTACTTTCTGTCATTGCAGTAACTCCCAGTCCAACTCTGGATGTTGTTGTATCAGTTGGTAGACTAGTTGGAGCAACAAATCCAGCTGTCTCTGAAGTTATCGTCATTGCTACTGTTGTTGCGGTTGCTGTTGTCATCAAATCGTTTACTGATGTTGACACTGTAGAAAAAGCGTCTAATGGTTTACTGACAGTAGCGGTATTCGATATTAGGTCTTCATTACTCGATGTTGGAATTGGAGTGGCAGTAATATCATCATGATGTAGATCGAAACGACCTGTGACCATATGAGATTCAATTTCAGATGTTAAATTTTCTAATTGTTTCTGAGCTGATGGATCTTCAAATATACCATCAGTGAATAACGAATGAACAATTCGACCACCAAAATTCTCATCATCATCATCTGGTTCAGCTGTTAATTGCGAAAAAAAATAATAATGTTGTTCAATGAAATGCAGCCGTGTTAGTTGTAATTAATGAATGAATTTTATATGACCTGACATTGTGAAGACAAGTCAAATTTTATGTTTAGTATTAAAACACAATCTTAATTACGATTTTAGTAAGCTCCTTTTCATCATACATTAAAACTCTATAGAAAGCTGACAACACATATTCTTCAACTCTCTCTGTCTCCTATTCAAATTTAATAGTATTGGGATAAAGCGTGGAAAAAATGGCTTAGTGTACATGTGGGTTTATTATTCCTACGGCAGTGAAATCTAAATTTAGTTTTAGCGTTACTCTACTATGAAAACTTATTTTCCATACTTTTAGGTTTGATAAAATTTTAGTAACAGTTGAAGCATTGATGAAATTAAATAATAAAGGGAGCCCCAAATACAAATCTAACCACTCAATTGGTTTAATACTCTGATGTTTAATATTTAGGACTGTTATCATTCAAATCTAACAATCATGCTTCGGACTAGATAAAGTTGTCATGGCAATACAGTTTACGAAAAATATTTTTTCAGAAGCCAATTGACAAATAGTTGCCGTGATCCAGAAGACGAGCAATTAAGTGTGACGAACTAGTCGCTACATAAGTACCATTATTGTGGTAATTCCAAATGAATTGAACATTGGATGGATTTTTTTATAGGGAAATCAATGATATATTTGTAATAATCATAGCAACTCATGTGCGATTGTGTTTGTTCTCATTTAACTCGGTTAAGCCCTTCTGTTAACTTATTTAGCGGACAAAGTCATCCGTACTATAACAACTTATTGTACCTTTATTATGGTTGTGCTTGTATGAAATATGTATGCTTGAAGATTGTTTACCGTCTACGCATATATTCATTCTGCCAGCTTTGTTATTAGCTGCTTAATCGATTCGATGATCCATTCATTTTCCTATTATATATACATGTACATTTACACTCTACATTCTCGGTTCGCTGACTCATTCATTCGCCTCGTTGCTTTGTTGAGTTATCTACTAATAAAACTGTAGTCGCTGCTTCTCTTTGCCTTCTGATTTCAAACACCGTTGAGGACTATATGATAACGGTACGAGGGTGATTGGTTATCGAAGCACAGCCACTACATACCCTAGTGGGTAGAATATCGGATTACAGAAGTTTTGTGATTTATTCTTCAGAGAACAAATAAGTAACCGGACTACATTAACACAAGTTTAAACAGGACAGAGAAATAAAATAAAATCCTCAATGCAACCAAAATATCCTCTACATATGCAGTGAGGATGAATCTCGCAATAGGTCAACGGCTTGGTGGTTAAGAAATCCGCTTTTAATCAACAGGTAGTAAGTAGATTTAAACCCAACACAATAGCTCATCGGTTTAAGTATCCGAGTAGTTATTAAAAGCCTTCACATCTGATGCGTGACACAGAACAAAGTACATAAATTTGTACTTGGGCTGCATAAATGTATATAAGATTTATAACCACTTTCCTCTTCTTCCTGGACCTCGTAAAAGTTCATAGTTTTTGAAGTGTTGAAGATGTGGAATCCCTAAATACTAAATTCATGGAGAAACCAATTTAAGAATTAGCAAACTGATTTAAAGTGAACTGGGATGCAGAAGTAATAAAAAGACATCACTAAGTAGAGCAGACTGAAATCGGCCGTTTTTGTGTAATTCGAAAACAAAGTGGAAGGCCTCATCGTGGTATGCATACGTAACAGCATTACAAGAATACTCTTAGAAGTTAGGGCACATTGGTTAATTGCTGATCCATTTTTAAACCTTTGGACTACGCATTAATAGTAATGAACATTCACGTTATCTGACACGACTCATACTACTTGAAAACGGAGACTAACTACTTAACAAATATCTCTTTTTCAAGTTTCCAAGAAAGCACATTTAACCTGTGTTTAAAAAAATTTCACCACACAGGACTTATTTCAGATTCGTCTACAAATAAAATACATTACAATCTTCGACTCCTAGTTAAATTAAAACTAAATGTGAAGGCCAAAGTACAGCATAAACGAAGGACTATACACAATTAAGCATTTTCCCCAGTGAGAAATCCCCTGACTGCATACATAGTCCACACATAATCTTCAGGATATCACAGATTTTGTAAAAATAAAAGAAACAAACAGAACTTACCCAGAAAGTCGTCATCAAATTCATTATCAACCATCCCAATATCATCATGATGAGTGATTGAATCAATAGACTTAATTTGTTTTTCTGCGTCAGATAACCTACCACCTCGTTTAACATCGATCAAAGTGGCATCCAAATCTTGATCAGGGTTTAACGTGAAATCAGCATCATGATGCATTGACAAATGATCACTCCCACGATAAATACTGTCACCAAATGTTTTGTCGCCATCACGAATCATTTCACGACTTGATACTTCATCGAATGCTGAATCTCCGAAATCATCATCTTGTCTTCCTAGATTAATCTCACCGAAATCTTCACGCATAGTTATATCTTCCGGACGACTTTGATTTATTGCTATAGTGTTCATATTTATCTCACTGTAAATGAATGTAAGATAATTATATTAAATATCACTTACTTGAGATCGGCTATAGTTGCTTCAAAATCATGAATATTCTCTGGTAAAGTGATAGCTGCGATAGCAGCTTCCCGATTTGCTTCATCTGGAAGGTCAACAACACCTGGACGAAATGCCATCTTAATTTTAACGAACGCCTCATTGCAGTCAGCCAGTAGGTATTTCGCCTTACGAGAGTAGATTCTCACTACACCCAATAATAAATGTCCAGAAGTTCTTAATGCCATTTTTAACTTTGGCTCTAAAATTGCCTCAACGCTAGAACTGATATTTGTTTCAAAAACATGAGCCCTGGTAAGCTTTTTATCCCAATGAGCAGCTAGCCATATACGGGCCAAAGGACCCTTTTTGCTGAGTACAAAATGTGCATAGAACATTGTTAGGCTGAAAATAAAAAAATTAATACATAATGATAAACCAAGTTTTATCTATTAAAATGTAAGTTATTTCAAAAGTGCACAACTAAGAAATGTAAATTGGATAATAATAACTATCCACTTCACAAACTAAGCACTACGAAAAATGTATAAACTTTGATTTAAGAAAGGTCACAAGCACGACTTAATGGGCAAAAATGAAGATACTGATAACCTAATTTCTGGGATAAATTGACACCAATCCAAATTGTCCCGCTTCGGATTAGCACTACGCAAGAAAAACCAAACAGTAAGAATAAAAGTCTGCACAGTAGTAGAAAATCAACTGAAAAAGTTGAAAGAAATGAATTAAAAATATGGATCATGAAGTTGACAACCAAGAGAAGAAGGTTAATCATTCAGAGCCCCTTCCTGATAGCATTGATAAAGACTAAATGGATAGACACAAGCATGCCTGTAGCTCTCCTAGAGGTACTGACTGTCCCGAGTCCGGATAAGGGAGGAGGGTTTGTCATGGAGTCAGCAATCCCATCCTGTAGAAACCAACAGTGCTAAGGAACGCCAACCAGAGTAAACAATTCAAACCATTTAAACTCTGCCTTCCAAATTGAAGGATTTTCACTCAGAAGAATTATGACGCTTCATGGTGAAAACCGAGGTTCTTTGGAAGTCACGAGGTCGTGTGACAATTAATATAGGTACGTGGAATGTTCGGACAATGTACGAGACTATAAGGATCAATCAAATAGCTACGGAAATGAGGAGATACAGCTTGGAGATCCTTCGTACGTACGTACGAAGTTCTACGTTGTTAATGACTGACTAACTGACCAAGCTATACAGAAAAGGACAGATTCGGGAGAGATGCTGCTGTACTCTGGTCAAAAAGACGATGCTCCACACACTCAGGGAGTTGCTCATATGCTGTCCAAAGAAGCATGTAAAGCACTCATAGGATGGGAATATTATGGACCCATGATCATCAAACCATCCTTCAAAACAAACAATGGAATCACAATGAATGTTATCTGATGTTGTGTAGCCACCAATGATAGCAATGACGAAGATAAAGATCAGTTTTACTAGAGGTTGCAATCGGTTTTAGAGAAGTGCTTAGGAAGCAGCACTCATAAACCTTCTTATAGATGTCGCTCCACCAATGATCGAAGAAATCAGGATGACCATCAGACAAATCAAGAGTGGGAAAGCAGTAGAACCTGATAATATACCAATCGATGCACTGAAGTCAGACATAGAAGCAACTGCAAAGATGCTTCACATTATATTCAGGAAGATCTGGGAGGAAGAGTAGGTGACGACAGACTAGAAAGAAGGACACCTCATATCGAAGAAAGATCTGAGCGAATGCAAGAACTCAGCTGCAGAGGCGTCAAACAACTATCGGTACCAGGAAAAGTTCTGAACAGTGTTGCTGAACAGGATCGGTCGTGCACAGGCCAAATCGTGACACTACGGATAATCGTTGAACAATCGATGGAATGGAACTCGTCACTATACATCAAATTCATTTACTATGAGAAAGCATTTTACAGTGTGGATAGGAGAACCTTATGGAACCTTCTTCGATACTATGGTCAAAATCATACGGAATACACTACATGGACGACAGCTGACAAACGCATTCCAAGTGAGGACCGGAGTTAGACAAGGCTACCTACTCTTCACCTTTCTTCTGGTTGGATGGATTATGAAGACCTTCACATCTGAGGGAAAGCACGGAATACAATGGACAGCTTGAACATAGCTAAGCGACTTGGAGTTCGCAGATGACCTCTCTTCTATTCCATACACACGAAAAAATGAAGGTCAAGACAGTCAGTGTAGGGCTAGCCGTTATAGCAGTAGACCTCCACACACACAAATGATGGAGCAAGATCACAAAACGCAACGCTCCCAAATGCCCTGGTACGGCCGAGAGTAGGAAGAGTCCTCTCTCCCTCTCGAAATGCTCTCATATGGCCACGCGTATATAGCCTCTGCCAGGGAAGTCCTACTCACTGCCTTCTCGCAGCATTACTGTTGTTTACGAAATTGAGAAGACGAAGAGTGAATGTCCGGCGCTTTAACCGGGTTGGTGGATACAGAGTCAACCAATGGGAGTTGGAAAACCCTCATTGCAAACCAATGGCGCACATGGGCTCCAGTATCCTGAAAGAACAGATGGCGTATGAACCAATTATTGGTCACCGGCTACCATGGGACTGCATCTCCTTTACTCCATTGCCTTGTGGATCAGACCTTCAGGTCGAAGGCTCCAGGTGTGGTCCCTTAAGAAAACCACCTGCTTCGGTTCGGGCACCCGGGCAGTATCACAGCCCTCACACATATCAAATGAGATTTGTGTGGCGCATATGTATTTGGTGCCTCTTTGTATCAATATCTGTGTTAAAATAAATAAATAAAATACAACACGGATAGCACCGACCAAATCAAATACGATGAAGAAGCTCTGGAAAACATGGAAACATTCACATACCTGAGAAACATCATTGATAAACAAGGAAGGTCTGATGTAAACGTAAAGGCAAGGGTTGGCATTCATATAGTTGAAGAACATATGAAACTCAAAACAACTGTCAATCAACATCAAAGTCAGAATCTTCAATACGAACATCAAGACAGTTCTACTATACAGAGCTGAAATGTGGAGAACTACTACAACCATCATCAAAAAGTGCAGATATTTATAAACAATCGTCTACGAATGACACTCAGTGTCCGTTGGTCGTATACTACCAGCAACAACCTACTTTGGGAGGAAACAAACCGGCTTCTTTCTAAAGAGGGAATTAAGAAAAGATGTTGGAGGTAGATAGGATATACATTGTAGAAGTCATTAAACCGCATCACGAGGCAAGCGCTAACTTGGAAAAGAAGAATACCAAAGGACACACTTCGTCGGGAATTGGAAGAAAACACTAAAAGGAGGAATAGCAACTAGAAAGGATTGCCAAGGACCGAGTTCCATTGGAGAATGATGGTGCGCCGCGTATGCTCCTCCTTGCGGGATAACGGGCGTAAGTAACAAGTTCCCACATCAGCAAAGTGACAGTTAACGGAATAAAATTTATGAAATTATACTGAAGCAGACAAGGGGCGAATTCATCTTCGAGAGTCATATTACCCAACGCTTACAACTACTGACTGTGGTTACCCAGTGGACCTTAATCAAGTAGTCTCTATTTGCCAAGACAGCAGTCAATAGCTTCACTGAGTGATATCCGGTAACAGCAGTGTAATTTTATTCCTGACGTTTGACAACGTGTGTTCGGATGCAGAAACCACAATTAATTCGGTGTCATCAACTTGAAACACCGGTCTTGATGGACTGGACATATTTTGGAAATATAACCGTGTATAATATACCGATGATGGAGTGGTAGATAAAGCAGATACATAGTCAGTTTGCGATACGACGCCGTGCTATGAAGAACTGTCTAGGACAGTCGTCAATCCATGACTTCCTCCCGGTTGGGATTATTTAACTTTTACAACTCAGCTATCAGATATAGGTCAAAATAGAAACCAGTGGCGATCCCGATGTAGTTTTCTCTCTTGCATTCCTCATAAAAAAGAGAACTCTCAAGACTAAAAAGTCTTTCTTGATCCAGTATTAAACCGAACTGTACATAATATAATACATCATTCTTGTCCACTGATTTATTTTTAACTGCAGTTCCGTCCTCTCCTTTGTCAATTAGTAACACATCATTAATCGTGTGCCCCATACTTTTTTGATATCCAATTATAGCAGGATTTAGATAAGAAATAAGAACGTTTAACAGGCACATGTGCTAACCCGTTTTCGCTGGAAAGTAACCAACTTACTCTAAAAATCGATTTGAGGACTATCCAATTGTTGTCCATTAAATAACACGACATTGGAGTGTATAAACAACAATGGGAGTCATTGTTATAAGCGATGTTACGAAAGCTCGAGATGAATAATACAAACCCAAGTGATCACATACACAAATGCAGAGAAAATCTGCGAGACATGTCTGAGTTATTTAAGGTATTGTTCACCAAATCGGGAAGAGGACCGAAAGAAACGATGGAACTCCTCCTTTCGTTTCTTATGGGGATTCGAGGTCGTCAGGACAATCAGATCATCTGGTTGAGATCTGCGTGATAACTACGGTCAGTGGTTGGAGACTTTGGAATGCATGGCTCAAAATCACTCGCCTTGAAATTCAGCATAACCTCACACATACCTTTACACCCGAAGTTTATCCATTTTTTTATCCCTTCTACTACATTTTGATCTCATCGTGCTGACCAGGTATGGCAACTTTGGTCAGCAAACACCGTAGAGTTTTATGTGGAGGATGGCTGCCTGTTTTTTACTTATCTGGAGTCACGGTTGATCGAATATTCAAGATCAGCAAAATACTCAGGTTACGTCAACTACAAAAACAAGGAATATGACACTGTACAATTGTACTGTTAGCGACTCTCTAAGGTCTTAACGACTGAGCTGGCTTTACAGCAGATTATTAACACTAAACCAGACTACATTAAGCTAATGTTACTTGAGGACGGGAAAAAATTTGTCTTCAATGGCGTTATCAATTTGAAAATTTGGTGAATGCAACAGATAATAACTTGTTCTCGTGGTCAGTTTTTACTTTCTTGTATTGTTAAATTTAGACGACTTGGTTGAGGTTCATGAAACCATGGTAACCAATGGTTGGAGACGAGTGACAGCTCAAAATCAGTCGCAGTGATGTGCGTGCATTTTATATTGATTTAATGTTAAGCCTCGGGTTTCAAAAATACTTAGTGCATTTTTGTTATTCCACAAATTTATTCTTTCTCGAATCATATATTACACACCTGGTCTTATATCATTGCTGTTACTACTCTGTTTAGTCATGCAAGTTTCATCTCGATGTGATAACTTGATCCGGTGAACATAAATACCAGATTTTTTTGCACATAACTATGCATCATCAAGTAAATACTATCTTTACTTTACCAACCAATTCTTATCTATTTAAAGTAATGCCTCTAATCCATGACAAATACGTATTGTCATATTCAGGTGTCACCTAACGCTTTTGAGGATTTATAGTAGGAATACTACATCAATGATATTCGACGTAACCCTTTGGTCACTCGATCAGCTTACCAATACGGTTTTCTACTTTAAATGTCGTTACTAATATATATGGTCTTCTAGAAATCTGAGTCACAGTTAACAAAGGCAATAATGGTTTGAGCGTTGACATGCTTACTACGTAGAGTAACAAACGTATATTAGCCGGAATTCTCTCATAAAAAACTACAAATCAATACCAATCCACCGAAAAAAACATTGTCTGACTTAATCCTACGTCGACAGTTGAGAAACTTGCAAATATAGGCTGACAAAGACTATTCTGTCAGAGCTCGCAAGCTACTACGTAAACTTTTGATGAGATGACTTATAATGGGTATTCCAACCTTGACAACAAGAAACAGGAGTCTAAAAGATGATACTGAGATCTTTAAACGGGGACTGAATTCTTGGTAATTATAACTACTTACATCCGATTATGAACCCCAACAAAACATTACGGAAATATGTTAGTTAATATAAAGCTCTTATAAACTAATGGAAAGTTTGATAAAGTAATTTTACTATACTCACTGTGATTAAATATAGTTTTAACCAGAATATTTTCAGGTAATCGAGCAAAATGGGTACAATTAGTATAAAATACAAACACACTCTGTCTACCGCCACGCTGATAAAATTGAAATGTAGTTAACTTAAAGAAAGCATGAGTTCACTCAGAATATTCTGTTGAAGTAGCAGTGTATGACTCAATATCTCTAGTCAATACACAAAAATGTTTATATTTCGAAGCCATACATATAATTTCAATTCTTTAGAAGTATGAAGGAACGGGATATAATTTATAAGGTTTGTCAATTAAAGATTCTTATAAAATTAAAGGATAATGGTGTGGATTATATATATCCCACCTAACTTCGAATATGTGTTGTTAACTAATCACTTGCATTCAGCGTAAAAATAAAAGTGGAACATGAATGTGGTTCAGATATGTAGATTTCAAACACTCAGATTGGCTGAATTAGATATGACTCGGAGTGGCAACAGTAGCCTACTCAGTGAATAATGATCAACCCAATCTTTAAATCAATTGACTAATTTACGGATTGCAAAGTATAAATGACAAACAGACATAAAACAACCACACATTAAAGTGCACATCAACGAAGTTAACAACGCCATCGATAAGAGAGGTATATGGAAATGTCCTAAAATACTTAACAAGGCCAAAAGTATGCATTTAATGAAAAGATCTGTTCAGAATAAAATAGACTAGATGAAAGTATAAGGGTATTGCTACACTACTGGTTTGAAATAGGTGTGAATAATACAATCAAACCGGCTGTTAGTCAAACAAATATATTCTCTGTAAATAAGTCTCTTTGTATGAAAAACCTCTCTTTAATAGCCTTCGTTTCATTGTTTTCTAATAGTAGATGTCCACTCAAGAGATGTTAATCCTGAATTTTAAGTCATATGCAAGCAATACAACGTAATCATATACCCACAATTCTTTATGTTCCTTAGCAAACTGAGCAACTACTAAGAAGTTTGATTACCAATTCGGTCTCTCTGAATAAGACCAATGACAAACAACTAATCATTCTCGTAGTTTTTAAAAACTCAATTAAAGCAATCCTCTTTATGTGAAAAATTACTTAAAAAGCACAAGGGTTCTAAACCATTTAAATGATACATCGTAGATTTATCCCTCTTTTACTTCTGTACTGTACAGGTTACAAACTAAAAACCCCCAAATGAGAAGTGAAGGCCTTATTCCTTGGTCGAATCACCTCATTTTTTGTTCATACAAAACCCTCCAGAAAGTGCAAATCTTGCCTAACGATAGTGGACGTGAAGAATAATTTACCAGAAGAGGCATTCACTAGTGGAACTCAATACGAATATTTAAACTCAGTCTTTATGAAGATCTGGAGAGCCATAAAGAGGCCACAAAGCCTGTAACAACAACACCTTTTATGATCAGAATATGCCAACCTAGTAAATCAGATGTCAGAGGTGAAGAGGTTCGAAGGTATATTTGATAAGTTATCGATATGTCGGGATGTGATCAATCTAAGTCCGCTAGCGGTTATAGGAGATGTGAAGCACGTTGTACCTATAGCGACTCACGTGCAATTGGGTTTATTCTCATTTAACTCAGTTAAGCCCTTTTGCTAACTTATTTAGCGGACAAAGTCATCCGCACTATAACAACTTATTGTACCCTTATTATTTTGTGCTTGTGTGAAATACGTATGTTTGGATATGGCTTACTGCCTACGCATTTATTCACTCTACTAGTCTTACTACTAACTGCTTATTTGATTCGATTACTCATTCATTTCACATGGTATATATACGTCCATGTTATTCATATTCAACACACACACTCTCGTCTCGCTCTTGCTCTGGATCTCGCTCGCTTCATAGAATCAAGATTTTAGGGTGGCATTGAAATAAAACCGTTGTCAGACACTGTGAACTTGTTATATCGTTTGTGAAACGTCACAGCGGTCCCTTTTTCAGCTAAAAGATAGCTTGCACTCGACAAAACGAAACCAGCTTCATTGAGTCCATTTGAATTTAAAGTAACTTTACTAGTATTACTATAAATTCACGTTCACTCAGTCAGTGTGCTTTCTTGACCACTTCTGATACCATAGTTACTAACGCTACGGTTGTTTATACACGATTTTCTTATATTCTGATGGCTGAGTTATGGAATTGGCGACCTGCCAGAATATTCGGACTACCGGTTTCTACCATCTGATATTTCAACAAGTTGTCTGTTTTTTCAACACATCATTATGTTTACTAATCGTATAAACTAATCAGGCGCATTTATGAAACGTTTACAACCTTTCGCCGTACAGTCTACAAAAAAGTATGTTATTAACCACCGTAGATGATCTATGTTGAATGATTGGGGGCCTACTGAAGTAAGACTGGAATGGTGTGACGAACCAGCTAACGTCGAAGACACACACTTCGCGGTCAACACCCTACATGGGTTGCCCAATCGACTTATCGAGGCACTATAAATACTTTTTAGACTGTACAACGCAAAGGACGTTATTACAGAAATATATTAGTTAAAATAGATATGTAACAGCATAGGTTGATTGGTTAAGACTCCACCTCAAACAACTAAGCATATTTCAAAACATAATAGTTCAAGTATTAATTCACTTCCTTATTTTGTATAGGCGTTATATTTCCTATTAACTTGTATTGAATGTTGAGAGGCTTTGTTTGTCTGAACAAATAATCCCACGCTCCACTGTGACTGCGCGAAGATCTAAATAAAGACCTATTCACTACTTGTCTGGTTTCTTCTATCAATAGCACGAGGGTTACCCAGAGGTACGAAAGTAAGACCACCACCGCATGTACCAGTCCATGACATACGATTAACTGATGGGCGTTGGTCGTCCTTGACCTTGACAAGAATCGATGATCGGTTCGATATTCAGTGACCCAACTGCCGGTTGATTTGGCTAGGGCTTAGTGATATTCCACTTGCCCTACTAATACAACCAAAGTCTTTGTGTTAGCTGGCAATATGAATTGAAAGGAATGGACATCATTCAGATGTTTATTCCTGAACTGCTTACATCTAACTGGTGACCACTCAATATTCGTCCTCACGATCGATCACTAACTAAGTAAATACTTGGTGCTGAGAATTCTGTATTGTACCGGAAACATAACGCTAAATAAAGCTTATAATAATACTAACAAAAGACAGTTATATCACTACATTCAACTGTATCTGTGGTGAATGGGTCCGAAGCTTGGTTGACTGACTGATATAAATGTAGTCCAGTCAAAAAAAAACTTCCCGTTAGGCCTTCAGAAAGTTAACTGGGTGCCATTTCTATTTGGTTCCAACTCAGAAGGCGACCCAGTAATCTAAGGCTTACCAGGTGATGTCAAATTATGTTCTACCTCTGAATCACTCACGAACAAGAATAATATCAATACACAAATTTTGTGCTTGATTAATGTGATATCATATGTTGAAAACATATAATGTAGAACGTTTATTCAAAAATGTCACTAATCTACTAAATAGCTGAATCCTTCTCCGGCACAAAAATAATGTTTTCTACAGCGAAAAATAATTGACAAACACAGATTTTAAGTATCTGATATCCAACACTAAAATTTGAAGCAAAATATAATCAAATGTCTTTCTGAAAAAATCCAGTAAAGTGGCAAACGTTTGGAGCGAACGTAAACAGCCGCCACACGTTATAACGTTGAGTTCATTAAAACAAGATGTTATTCTCGGTAATTCGATATCGTACGATAATCAAATTGAATGATAAATGCAAACCTTAACTAAGGCCAAACAAAAAAGGCTTGCGAGAAGGTAAATAGATATGAACAATTCGAGGAATAGCAGTACTGTTAAATCAAAAACTTTGGAGGGATTTTCCCAGTATTCACTCCGTGGCTATTGCATCCTATTTACTAGTTGTTCTACTTACTTTTGATATTCAAGGGGCTAATCATTATCTCCGAACGGAACTAGTGAGCCTCTTAACTGATAACAGCGTAAATCTTTTTGACTGAAACAGGAAACGTTTACCACTCCGAAACATTTTACACATGCAACGTCACCTTTTTGAGTCAGTTCACATTTGTGAAGAAGTACTTTGATGTATGAATTCTGATGAATCTGATTCTGGATTTCATCTAACAAACACAAATCTTCAGAGACTGTTACACCCTGAAACAACCATTACGACATCAAATTATAATGCACTCCCAGAAACTTGATCTTACTTTTATCCGTTTGATCAATAGTGTGATATTATTAATTCTGATAATATCGTAAGTAAAGCTAACTCTACTAATTAGTGATACATACTGCATCTTATCTCGGGACATTTTAGTGTTCTATCTGTGCATTTTGTTTGACGTATTAAGTGCCTTCTTGATGCTCTCGTTTTCGATAGCTAGTAGAAACGGCTAAATCTGGTCAATTTATTTTCGAAGAGATTGTATAAGACAAAGGTGTCTTCACACTACACAATAACCAGTCTTCAAAGCTTGGTCTAAGAGTATTTCTTATGAAGTAAGTTTTTCATACTCCTATGCTAAAACACAGCGACAACTGTAAATATCTAAATGTTACGTATTATAAGGTGAGGATGAATTTGTTGTTTTCAGTGATGTTATGCTTGAATAACCTTCATCTGTCTCCAAGTAGATGGTTATTAATACCTTATGTCATATTAATCAATCTGGTTGTCTAAAAGAAAAAAAAAGTGAATCCTATCAAGACGTCTTGCATATTTAATACCAAAACAACTAAATCACTATGGTTACGGTTTATATCAATTCTAGATCACATATGCAGACCCTAATACCGTCATTCATTTGAAGTTTCTGTTACATTGATAATTACCAAATACCTTGGACTGTACCGAAATAACAAGGAGCGAGCAAAAGTAATCTATCGGATTGTACAAGCTCGTGACATAGAAGTTGGATATTAGATCCAATAACAATGATTGATCAGTTCAATAACCCCGCCCACTTGTTCTTTTATCAATTGTTTAATTAATTAAACTAAAACTTAACACAATGGTTGAATGACATTTACTAGGTTTAGGTTATACAAATCAAGTCATTAGATCACATCAATAATTCCTTTTCTATTTTAGCTTGTAA